ATCAGAACAGGTCTGGATGCTGGGTGACGGTGCTCAGAGCACCCAGGGAGAGCCAGCCCAGCCCACCGCGGCTTGGGCAGCACCCGAGTCACAGCCGTCCCCAAGGAAGAGAAGTGCCACCGTCCTGGCTGAGCAGGGGACCAGCTGCGTCTCCCAAAGGCTGCGGGCTGCCTGCAGTCCACAGGGCAACGCGCGACTGCTCGGCTCCAGACACGAGACTGCGCATCCAGCAACAAGGGAGTCTCTTCTCCTACTGCAAATTTCCATACTGATAAAGTAAGAGAGGAAAACAAAGGCAGAAACTGCATTCTGGAGAAATGAAAGCATCTTTTGAAAGACTTCCTGAAGGCAATACCCCACCTGCTAAAAGCAACCCCAGAAACTCAGCTGCGCAGCAGCTGGCAATCCCTGCAGGTAACTCCAAAGCAGCCGGCCGAGCGGGATATCGCGCCGTTGCTGTCAGGCAACCCACGCACGTGACAGCGCAGAGTGGTTCTCAGAAGCGATACTTTCTGGCAGTGCTTGTGGAAATCCTGACAAGATAGAGAAGTTATCTTGGCAGGGGATGGTGTACAGTCACACATTACCTGAGGGCCTGGACTTCCTCTCTCACCCAACCCTCCTCGCTCAGAAGTCCCTTCATTTTTCTAACACGTGTCTCCAGATTGATCATCGATGGGATTAGTCATAACCACAAAATAGAAAAAAAAATTTTTTTTTTGCCTGAGTATTCTACATTACTGCGGCCACATTAAAACCTAGAAGTTGTGGTGAGTTATTAGACAAACGAACACAATTATTTTAGATTAAAAGACTTCAGGGGACCGAAACACGCGTTACGGTATTACTTCCTTCGCAAAAGAGGGACAACAGAAAGCCACATAAAAGTGTTAGAAGTATAAATCACGCCTGCACAGGATGAATAAGCGTATTTGCTGAAATAACTGTCAGGCACTGCAAAAAGCCCGTAACGTCACCACCGTGCAGCTTTTAGAGCCTCTGAAGGCTCCGTCACGTCCTGATGTCATTGCTGCAGAATTTAAAAGTCTCCAAATTCCAGGTAGTAAACCTGAACCCGAAGTTTCTCAGTGCGATCA